TGGTTGCACTCGTTTGACTAACTGGTCTCTTCCCCCTGTTGTGAGGAAAGAACATCTCAGCTTCCAGCCCTCACTGCCTCCAACATATGGGCAGGCTATGGAAGAGTCAGAGAACTGTGACAGCTTTGCTTTTTCATTCGTCCATTTCCTAGACTCCAAAGCCTTCCTAAGCAAGTTTTCCAGCCAGCATTCTAGCCCGTGCGATATTCCTTTAAGTTGAGATCTTTCCTTGACAGAGTGCAGTTGGTTATTACACTCGCAGTCTCCGATCAGTGGGGAAAAAGAAGCAGAATAACTTGGCTGCACTAAAGATCCACTGACAGAACAAATGGTTTCTTGCCATGATACCAGTGTCCATGTATGCAAGCCTGCTAAGATTAAATTCCTCCATCAAAACTAAATATTGATTCACATAATATACAGGTAAAACACAGAGTTTAGTTCTTGGCAAACATGGATATGATTTTTTTTAAACAACCAAACCTTAAAAGAAGTTTGGTAAAATATTTAACATTTAAAATAAACAGCACCACTGTTTTTAGGAAACATTCAAGAATGATATTGGAAAGGGAAATATATTTCATTGAGAAATTCTATGAGTGAACAAGTTATTAATATTGAACATCTTCCAAGAAATATAGGGGTAGAGTGATTTAAAGAGATTGTGAAAAAGATTGAAAACTCATACGAAATAAAAACTATACTTCATTTGCAAGCTAACAACTTTTCAGAGATTTTACAAATTATACCTCAATTTTTAAGAGGTTTATTATTTTACATAGCCATTCTTATTGACTTCTGACTGTTAATGTAAATGTAAATGTGCTGGTGGAGAGACCAATCTAGGTCTGTGAATGTGAGCAAGTGGGACATTTCGTGGTAATAGGATACAAGACCCAGTGACTGGCAAGATGTCAGGAACAACCAGCAGGTATATGGGTAAATGTCCCCAAGGTCCTTCCAGTCAACAGCAGGAGCTACAGTGGTTAGAAAACAGCACACAATTTGAAATACATCAATCATTAAATAGCAAAGGGAAAAGTTGCCATTCAGAAAAAAATGCCCAGATCTTTTCAGGAGTAGCAATCATTGTTCGAATGCTGTTTCCTACGTTTTTGTACCCCTGGCAGAAATTCAAACTTCCTGGATAATTCCCACAAGGTCCATGTATCAGTACTTCTGCAGGGTCCTGACATGCCATCTTGGGTCACATGTGCAGTCTCCGACAGTCGATAAACTGGAAGGTCTGGACCAATTTACATGATACTGTAAAGCTTTCCAGGCTTCAAGTAGCGACAGCAATTTGGACCACCTATCCAATCAAATTTCACAGGTCATGTATAATTTGCTCAATCATTGGTAGGAAGAATGGGAGAATGAATTTCCTCAGGCCTTTCCCCCATTCTGCCACCATGAGTTTAGTTGAGTTAAGTCCAGTTATTATGCAAGGATCCAATATCTGCCAGAGGTACAGTGCTGAAATGGGATAACTGGAGGAATTAACTGTATTCGTGACAGTCAAAATTAATTGTGGTTTCACTTATGCATGTACTGAGTAGTTTCATTGGGTCCTTGTAATTCAATGGTAATGTCCCTACATACAGAGCAGAACGTTTGGGTTCAAGTCTCACCTGCCCCAGAGCTGTGTCAACAACATGTCCTAACAGGTTGATTAGAAAGTACTTTACAAATAGAAGCTGACTGAAAGATTGGGATTTTATGTTGAAACTGCATGGAATGCAGTGTGTCTCTTTAAATAAAAGCTTGCAAGTGAGTAAAGACTAGGCTCCAGTGTTCTATACTTCATCATTTGGCTGTCTGCGAGATGATAATTTAATCTCCTGAATTAAACGAACTAATCCAAGTCAAACACTCACTTAAGAAAAATCAAAAAGAAACATTTACGTAAAATGTCTCCCTGACCTTAAATAAATTCAACATTATTTAACCTTATGAACTTGTCTTCTGCAAGTAAAAACAGTCAGAATTTCAGAACCAAATGAACCATTGTCTCTGTCAGTTCTTTCCTTAAACAAAGGTCACATTCTGAATCAATGTAGCTCAATTCAGCAACGGCATTTTTTAAAATTAAATATTTTAGAACAGCAATCATGTTGTTTTAATATGAAAAAAGTTTTGAAGTAAATATATTAATTACATGCAACTACAATTTTAAGTAACTTTCCATTCTAAATTTATTATAAATATTAAATTGCATTCATTTTGCATAACATTGAGATAATTTGTGATTCCCAAGAATAAAAAAGTCATGATTTATAATAATTTATAACACAGCTTTTATTTGACCACACAAACTTTTGATATAGCAGCTGACACTTTGACGTCACATTGCTTGAAGTTAATGTTTAAGCAATTTTAATTGTTCAGTTTTAACACCTTGCAGATTAGCTGCATACTTAGGGTCTCTTAGAACTCTATTAGGTTAATACTGCAGAAAAGTTATCAGTTAGACCATTGCCAGTCATCTCTCTAGGAGGTTTTTCTAAGTTTTATGAATCTCACAAGGTGCAATGCACATGTCAATTGTCATGTTGACTTCCATTTAAAGTTTGTTTTAAAGCTTAAGGTAAAGTTTTACCCAAGATAAACTGATTCTGTTTTTTTTTGTGTGGTTCAACCTCAGTGCAGTGTCTCATGCATTTGTTCACTAACAATTGTTTCTGGGCTAATGAGGGATATAAATGCATTCTTCAAATTTTGACTGGTGTTTTATTTAGAATAGCTTTCAAAAGGCACAAGCAGACATGGATCTGTCAAGTTTATAAGCTATAATACCATCAAAATTATTACTTCTAAAAACATAATATAGGTTTAAGATTCCCTAGTGACTGGATTTTGTACTATGGGTTCTGCAATATTTATTGCATTCAGTATATCAAAAAACAGACTGTATTGAATTACTGAAGCTACTTGAACTCATTAACTTACAACCTAACCACTAGTTGAACTAGAATTTTACTCTTACTTTAAAAGCACCCTGTAACACTCACCATTTTTCTCCACCTGCAGTTCCATTGGAATTCTCCATTACCTCAACCAATCTGTGCAGTCGTTATGTGTGAACAAAATAATGACCGTGGACAGGATATATGACTATATATTTTTAGATGACTAAAATTTAAGTTGTCCTCATCTAATATTCAGATGTATGGACTTGCAACTAAAAAATCAATATATCCTATTTTTTAAAATGTAATTTGACCATATCTTACAACGCTCCTTAAAGAATGAACATAAAAAAGCACAAATGGATGGTGTCAAGTACAACATACAAAAGGTTTATTTAAATCCTGAAGATTAAGAAATAAACCAGGAAGTATTTCCCATTGATTTGAACAAAATCCATTAGCATGTAGCTCAAAGACAAACATAATAGTCTTGAAATAATATATTTTAAAAAGAAAATCAATGCTGTAACATTCAAGTCGCATAGCAATTCAATGCTTTATATTTTGCTTGTCTGACTAAACTTCACCCAAGTTCAGTAAAGTCATCATACTCCCAGACAACCATAGGGCTGCTCTCTTGTCAGAGAAGGATGACTGAGGGTCACCATGCCTCTGGCAAAGAGCATGGTTGAGAAGTTGGGACCTTCATGGTGATCTGAGCCAGTACAGAAATTGAACCCAAACTGTTGGTGTCACACTCTGTATCACATCCAGCTAACTGACCCCCAAGGTCAGGAAACCTGTTCCAAAGTGTCACAGTGTCATAGTGTCATAGAGTGATAGAGTCATTGAGACATACAGCATGGAAATAGACCCTTTGGTCCAACTTGTCCATGCCAACCAGATGTCCTAGATAAATCTCGTCCCATTTCCCAGCATTTGGCCCATATCCTTGTAAACCCTTCCTATTCATATACCCATCCAGGTGCCTATTAAATGTTGTAATTGTACCAGTTTCCACCACTTCCTCTGGCAGCTCATTCCATACACGCATCACCCTCTGCATGAAAAAGTTGCCCCTTAGTTCATTTTATATCTTTCCCCTTTCACTTTAAATCTATGTCCTCTAGTTTTGGACTCCCCCACCCTGGGGAAAAGACTTCGGCCATATACCTTATCCATGCACCTCATGATTTTACCTGCTACAATTTTAATAGTACACTTGCAGGCACAACATAACTGCATATGAAGTTTTATAAAGCTTGATAGTTATGTGATTTTACAGTGCCATGTTACACTATTTACTTGCCACCATCGAGAAATACAAACAGTATGCAAGCAGTTTCATAGGCTCTGCTTGTGAACATCTGAAACTCAGTGAACTTTTCCATGTTAGTAGAAACCCAGCTGTTAAATCTTTGAGGAAACTATAATAAAAACTTAAATTTGCATTGTTGTACTGGCTCAAGTAAGAAGCCAAGTTAATTATATTATTCATATTAAATTAGCCATATTTATATCTGATACAACTGTGCAATATTACATATTTTACAAAGAAAGATAATCTGTCTTTTAGAAAGGCAAAGAATCTTACAAATGTCTCAAGAAATCATAACAGAACATCATAATCTTAAAGACTGATCTTGCTTTTATCTTTCGAAATATCTTTTACCCCACATACTTTCTTTTTAAGCTAGTAACATTACAAAAGTTACTTGAATCGTTACAACAGTAGTTTCACCATAAACTTTGTCTTGTACAAAAATAAAGCTTTGCTGCTGATTCTTATAACAATTTAAGCATTCATAAATCAAAAAGGAGCTAAATGAGCTTTACAAATTTGTAGCTGACTCTGAGAACAAGCCTGGTGTAGTCATGACATATTGCACACCTTCTGTCACTGTGACTCTGGACTGCTTCTATCATAAAAAGATCTGCACAGTATTTACTGTCATAGTAAAAATTGTGCTAAATAATATTTTCAAAAGCACAATAAATATAAACCAATTTAAAAGGGGTAAATTATAATTAATTCTAAATTGGGTCTATGACAGTTTAAACAAAACACATGTAATTAGATGTTGAACTTACAACCATCAAATTTTCTTTGATCTTTGCAATTTCTCCAGGTGTCTCCTCCTTAATTCGATAGATATCAGCAAACAATGTTCCCATGGTCCGGCACACTGACTCAATATCCCTAAGTATGCAAGCATTAACATTTTCTACTCAGTTCATTTTATGTTGTAGACATATTGGAATTCATCTGTCCAATAAAACATTTTGCGTTTTCCAATAAAATGCACAAAATTATCTAAGTTAACAGGTTTACCTTAAAGTTCTTAACAATCCATTAGAAAAAAATACAAAGATAGCCACATTTTTATTTAGATCACTGCAAGGTTTTCAAATTCAAAATATACGCATGCGATTTTTTTTAAAAATGACCTGTAATACCATTAAGAATAATGAAATAAAACATTTAAGAGTCTTTGTGCTGACAGAATAAAAACTTGAATGCCAAATATAAACTAAAATGTGATTTTGACAAAGATTGAAGCAGACAGGTGATAAAATGCAGAGAGGTGATGACATTAAACTCCTTATATAAACAGCATTGACATCTGCTTCAAGATAACTTTGACTGCAGTTGATCGAGGAGAAATGTGACCCTTCCCATATTTACAAGAAATCTGTTACTACAAAATTTTTATCTCAATTCTGTGCGGTGAACTTTTACTGTCTGAACAATACAATTTCACAAGCTTTACTTTTACAAAATTGATTTAAAAATTGCTATATTTAAGATTTTGCATTCAATGCAATCTGTTAAAATTAATTTTATGTAAATAGTGAAGGAAGAATCGCATGAAATACAAAGAATTTTTTAAAAAGTGTTAAGTATTATTATGTAAGTGTGCAGATCGTAGTAACAAATTTCCAACTTTTAGCAAAATCAATGCCCTGCACAACTGTACTGGATTAATGAAATATTCTTCTGCATTTACACTAATAATTAATTAAGATAATGAACTCTTAGAAAGAACTTCTCTTAAAAGAAGCAAACCTTTATAATTTAAATCCAATATTAAAAGTAGAAATTTAAGAAATGCTGGAAATAAATAATAGATTTAGATATCTGTCTATAATATTTTGTTCAATTAATGCGGTGGTGACAAATTGAGTTTAGACTAAAATAAAATGATAACCACAAAGAAAGACATCCCCTTGTTGCTTACCATGTACCATCCACCCTCAGTTGATGAATAAGTACTGTTCCATGTTAAAACAGCACTTTGAGGAAGCACCAAAGGTGGCAAGGGTGCAGAATATGCTTTGGCTGGGTGACTTCAATATCCATCAAGGCTCAGCAGCACAAGTTCAGACCAAATTGATTGACCTAGCTGCTACAGTAGGTCTGGGACAGGTGGTGAGGAAACCAGTAACAGGGAAAAACATACTTGACCTCATTTTCAACGGTCTGCCTGCCACAGATACATCTGTCCATGACAGTATTGCTGTATGAGATTTAGAATCCCTACAGTGTGGAAACAGGCCCTTCGGACCAACAAGTCCACACCAAACCTCAGTGCATCCCACCCAGACCCATCCCCCTATAACCCACACATCTCTGAACACTATGGGCAATTTAGCATGGCCAATCCACCTACCCTACACACCTTTGTCTGTGGGAAGAAACCGGAGCACCCGGAGGAAACCCATGCAGACACGGGGAGAATGTGCAAACTCCACACAGACAGTCGCCCGAGGTTGGAATCGAACCCGGTCCCTGGTGCTGTGAGGCAGCAGTGCTAACCACTGAGCCACCGTGTCGCCCAGATTATTGTTAAGTATTGTTAAGAGTGACCATTGCAAAAAAAAAGGTATTGCTCCCCAGCTTGCCTGAATTTTATCACAACATGGACGTATGCTCAGGACTGAATATTAGTATGGGAGCAATGTGGTTTATTGAAACGGAAAAGCAAATGGAAGGTTAAAATCATTCCTACAGACAGAGCAGAGATGTTCTGCATAGTGGTCACCTAGTCTGTGCTTGGTCTTGCCAATGTAAAGCAAACAGTATTGTGAGCAGCAAGTTCAGTGGACAAGATTAAAAGTAGTATGAGCAAAACGTAGCTTCACTTGAAAGGCGTGCTTGGGATTTTGGATGGTGTAGGGAGAAGAAGTGAACGAACAAAGTGTTACACTTTATGATTGCATGGAAGGTGCATTGGAGAGTAAGGAAGTGTTAGGAGGGATAGAGAAGTGGATGAGGGCTTCATGGAATGCTGACAGTGGAGGAGAGGGAAGGGAAGATATAATTGGTGGTGACATCCTGCTGGAGGTAGTGTAATATAACACTAACAGGAAAGACTGAACAGGAAGAAATATTGAGGGTGGCCTAATGTAGGTCTTCCAGATTTTAAAGAGTTAGATAAAAGAGAAGGAAAAATGATTTTCCCGATTCCACTAAGACCAGAGCCAGAGACCATCAATACAAGATAACTTTAATAAATAAGGAATTCAGAAGAAATCTATTTTTATAGAGTGCTTAGAATCCGAACTCATTACCTCAGGAGGTAGTTCAAGTGATCGGCACCGATGTAGTTAAGGTGAAATTAGAGTTGCATTTTAAATGGGGGAAAAGAAAAACTTTCACCACCTGCTTGGAAAGAAAGTCAGTCAGTACCCAACACACAATAGAAACAGCCTGCCCCAAACTCTCGCCACACCCCAGCCACAAGGCATTGTGGGTGAGATAAATTGGTCAACAATGGGACTTCTGCTCCTCGGTGAGAAGATTTCTAGCACTCAGGAGTTGCCTAAAAATCTGATTGGTATGTCGCTCTCAGACTCCTGGCAGCGCCAGGTCTCAGTAGTGGATGCCAAAGGGAACCCAAAAGAAAGCCCGAAAAAGATAATATCTTTTTGGGAAGCAATGTCCTAGGTTTTTGGATGGAGAAGGTTCTGAAAGCCCACGAAATAGGGGTAGAAGGGGTTGTGGAATGGGACAGGTTCGGGCAGTCAGGTGGCATACAAGGAAGTGGGGAAGGGTTTAACATCTTGAGGGATGTGCTCTTGGTGTGTGCAGGATAGTTTTGAAATAATGTGACTCTTCTTCCTATTTTCTCTCATGTGGGCCATTGAAAAGAATGTTCCCACAGCAAAACTATTTGACTTGGACAGCGTGTTATTCAGATCAACCTCCTTGTTAATGCCTCAAAGACCCTTAAATATGTAATTAAATAGGGCAGATGAATTACCAATTTTACTGCCCCACTTAGTATAATGAGGTAAGCTCAAGGGTGTAAGGTAAGATGGTAGAACAGTAGAACAGTCATCAATTTTATATTTCCCCATCCCCTGCCAAAACACACACCCCTTACATCAGCACATAAACATTTAGCCCATGAGGATGAAAAGGAAAGCAGGATATGTTGATGAGGTTAGATGACCAACAGGAGGAGGGAGCTTGTGTTGGAAGTAACCACCAGAATGATCTTGTTGGCCAATTTACCTGTTATCTATGTTATAAATACAAAGTGCTATGTAAATGAGGAAGAATGAACATTAACAAGTTGGTAAAACTTATAGAGTGCTTAGAATCCAAATTCACTACCGCAGGAGGTATGAGTTCCGAGGAAGGGTCACCGGACCCGAAACGTTAAACTGTTTTCTCACAGATGCTGCCAGACCTGCTGAGCTTCTCCAACAACTTTATTTTTGTTCATTAATAAGTTGGTGCTGCTGAAAAGTTAGCATTTTGACTTTGAAAGCTGTTGAATTTATGTGATAGAAAAATTTTAATATTTGTTCTTCCTTTTTCCCAAAATTCAGATTAATGTCTTGTTGCAGAAGTTTATAACATTTACTTTGCGACATGCAGGTTTTAAAAATCCTATTTTAGAAGACTGTTGGTACAAATCTATTCTGATTACCTGTCTTGGAAATCTTCCTTCAGCTTGGTATTTTGTTCAGCTGGCGACTCAGCAAGTTTTGCTTGCATTTCTTCAGTCTATTGTGCAAAAGTTGAAGGTTAGTATTCATTGAACAAAGTATATTTTACTTTTCTTATACTGTATCATAAGTAAATCCTGCAATTTTCCATCTTTACAGAGCACAATGAATTTTGGATACCCTTATCGTACAGCATTCTCAGCCTAACATTTTTATTCTTATCTAAATAGTAACCAGACAATTTGTTCCCCTGTCAATTAAGGCCTGTAACACCCAGTTAGGAGCTACTTACAAGAGGCCAAGGGTGCCTCTCTATCTGACTTTCAAAAGGATTCACAGGAAAGAGATCATGATGCAACAGTGCACAAGCAACACTCATGTATTCATGAAGACTAGGATGAGAAAGATTTACAAAGACCCTTTACTCCAAGTAGTATGTTCCATGGAGTATCCAATCACCAAAATCCCCACTCATCCTTATAAATTCCAATTTTGAACAGAAATTTGTCCAGCTCTTTTGTAGGAAAATAATTATTTGTAGAGCACAGATTTTGCCATGATTTTATTATTTAAACCTATTAAGAAAAAAAAGTCTAATCATTGAGTTTTGTTAAGGTGCTCCAGATTTCTATCGGCATTCTTTAGTTCTGTAATCATTGTTCAAATTAAGCAATCGCAACACCCAGCTGGGCCATTGTGGTTACCTTGACAGGTCATCCATCAGTTACCCCTGCCTTCAGAAGACTGGCAAGTGAAGAGTGAGGCTGTGGCTACCCTTGGACATCACCCAGGCCCCTTAATATGGTCAGTCAGGCAAAGAGGGATTGGACAGTTAGTAACAGGGTGCACCTGGGGCTGCACTACTGGCAAGTTGAGTGGGGACCCAGCACCCAAGCTCTGAATTAGGTTGACTGCTCTCTGGTATCACAGGGGCAAGGGCCCAGGCTGACCAAAGCAATTGGTGGCTATTTGTCCCGAAGAAAGACTTCAGGAAGGCGGCTTCAGAAGCTCCCACCATTGAAGATGCCTCCAAGCACCAGGAAGATATGAGAGAGCATAAAAGGGCAGACAAGCAACATAGGATTGAAAGCAACACCTGATGATGGCCAACCAGCCTCATAGGACTCTTCGGTAAACGTTCAGAGAAAACTGATTTACACCTCATTCAAAGACAATGATCTAGAACCTCTTTGTTGGAGTGTCAGAAACAGCAGCAAAGAAAAAACAAATAATATGCACTACATCGCACCTAATTGACAGTATGTTCCAAAGTTCATTACTGCCAGTTCAATCATTTTGAAGTTGTATCTTTCAGCAGAAGATAAGGTGACCATGTAGTTTTAAAAGCTGCTTCTCCCGCAAAATAGACTGAATGCGATTTTCTCATGATAGAGTCAAACAAGGGACTGACTCACAAACAAACAAATTATTTAAATGAACATGTGAGTAACTCTGCAGAAAGCATCTGGCGCTTTACAAGAAAGCCTCAATGATAAGATATAAAAGGTAAGAGGCTTTGAATGCAGAAAAACAGCAGCAAAATTTCTGTACTGAGACTCAAACCCACCATCTCAGAAACTAAGATAACAAGGTGTAGAGCTGGATGAACACAGCAGGCCAAGCAGCATCAGAGGAGCAGGAAGGCTGACGTTTTGGGCCTAGACCCTTCTTCAGAAATGACCCTTCTTTTCTGAAGAAGGGTCTAGGCCCGAAACGTCAGCTTTCCTGCTCCTCTGATGCTGCTTGGCCTGCTGTGTTCATCCAGCTCTACACCTTGTTATCTCAGATTCTCCAGCATCTGCAGTTCCTACTATCTCATCTCAGAAACTATATTGCTTTCACTCGGCTTGTCTGTATAGGAGAGAGATACCAGTTTTCAGTTTTAATGGACGAATCATTTACTGGAACCCCATGGATGAAAAATTGACTGGTTCATAAAGTGTAGGAAATCAACTCTGTCAGATTGCACATAGTGAAAATGAAAGTGTGTGCACTATTTTTAATATAAATTATCAAAATGAAAGACAGGATCAGTTGATTGATGTAAACAGTACTAATTGCACGTAAGTAATTATTCTATTGTTGCAAAATTACTGTATCAATATTAGCGCTACGTCATGAGAAGTACAATGACAGTGATAGTATACAGTTAATATGAGACCATTTTAAGTAGAAGTTTAGATTTACAATTATTGTGGTTACTTCCTAAGCCTCCATACCTTTCCATATTAGAACAACTGCATTTTGGCTATATGGTAAATCTTTAACACATAAAGGTTATTTAATTAGCAAAATTTAAATCTAAAAAAATAAATATTTCAAATGTGTAAAGTCCCTTGCTGAACTAATCAATTTTTTCCTTAAGATCCCTATGTGTTTAACCAATGGATCTACAGCCATAGTCACATAAGGGGCTACGTAAACATCTTGGGTTTTTTTTTTGCTTTTCTTTTGACAATATGGATGTTTGGGAGGAGTGCAAATCTGTTATCTTTGAAGCCAATTAAAACATAGCCCATTAAATTTATTGTCTAGGTCAACTACTCAGAAATGAGGGGACTCTGGCTCCTATTGAACTGTACTCACGCAGCAGTAAAAACATTAAGCATGAGTGTTAGCGGAAGATGATCAAGGGAGACAATTAAGGGGGAAATGCACACATGTCATTTAATATGTTTTTACTTTAGTGAATTTCATGTTTTCTCTTTAATGAACTTACATTAGAATAACAGCAAACAAGTTGTAAATAAATTTTAGTCAAAAACCCTTACCTTTTTCATCTCACTTTTAAGGTCTTCCTGTAAGGTGCCTAATGCTTCTTGAAGAGTTGTTAAAGCAAGACTTAGGCGTTCTTGTAACTCATCCATTTTGTCTCCAAGTTGGGTGCCTTGTTTTATTCTGTTACAAGAAAGTTGTATTAAGTCAATTTTGCATAAGGAAGGTAATGCTGCTGAACAGTTACCACGTCCTTTGCAAAATGGTTAATTTCTTATTTGAAAATCACCAACAACAAATTGACTACAAACTAATACTTAGTTAATGCATTATCAAATATTAATGATACTGAATATTAACTGATCAGCTGCTAATAACAACTCTGGGCTGAGCAATTTCTATTTGAAAAGAATTTCAGACTTTCTTACTTGGCTCTAAATCATACAATCGATTACACCAAAACAAATAAAGATGCGTGCAAAAGCCGATCAATGAAAAAGAAGGCTCATTGACACAAAATGTTAACGTTGTTGCTATTTCTAATGCCTCTGGACCTAGAGTACTTTGGCTATCTTCCGCTTTTATTATGGATGAACAAGAACTTTTGAGAAAGTTAGTAATGTTTATTGAAGCCAGGAACACATGTTCCGTAGAACTTGTTCTTGCCAACTGACCATCCACTTTTGCTTTGTTTAGCAAAAGTCAATTTTATATTCCTGGAACGCTGTACCTTTCAAAGTCATGAAAACTAATATAAGGAGCATCATCTGCTCTATCAAAGGCTGCCTGCCCAAAATGTGGGAGGTGCTATAAAATTATACGTGGTCCAGGTAGAGAAAGAATTGCTTACGCATGCAGCTATCAGCTTGGAAGCATTTCAGAGTTTAGTGGACTCCTACTGAAAGCCATAATGGCAGCTGTGTTTGGGTACAGGCAAGACTTAAGGAGATAACCTTCATTATCCAAAAGCTAGTCTGTATGATGATTGGTAGAAAAAGGCAAGAGAGGACCGATGCAGAATGAATGAAACTCGATTGCTGTCAGGAAGTAAGACAGGGACATCCATCTCTGCGCTGCCTGTAGTCACAAACTAACTGACTATTAAAGGATTAGAATCTATCATGTTCAGAAATATACCATGGTGGTGATGGGAAGTGCAAAAGCAACAAGCATGGGTGCTATCAGTAGCACCTTCAGTGCTGGAAAAAAAAGTGTAGACATTCTTCCTGATAAAGCCTCGTGATACAAGTCAGAAATTTCAGTTCTGAAGAAGTTATGTCGGACACTCGTGTTAATTTTGTTTCTCTCTCCTCAGATGGTGCCAGACCTGCTTTGTTTCTCTAGTACTCTCTTGCTTCTATTTTGGGGTTATGTGATTTAATTAAATCCTTAAGCCCTTCCAGCTCCCCCAAAGTTTCTGCTCCAACATCAAATGAGCCTACAGGAATTGGAATCTCTGTAAAATATCAATTTTAATCTATGTAAATCAATAAAAGCCAGAAGTAAAATATTAGATGTCGCTAATTAAAAGCTGACGTAAGTGTCAATCATCATTTTATTACAACTGCAAATCAACTTCAATCCTTTGGCAAAATGCAGAGGTTACTGGAGTAATAACTCCAGGGATGAGGTGCTGCAGTTACGTGGAGACACTAGAGCAGTTGGGTTTCTTGCCCTCCGATCAGGGAGTGTTAAAAGACAACTTAATAAAGACAAGCAAAAATAAGAAGGGTTTTGGTATTGCAGACAGAGAAAAATTGTTTCTTTTGGCAGAAAGGTTAGGAAGTAGAGGACACAGATAAAAGTGCTTCATGAAAGAATATTGAAAGCAGGTTCAATCATAATTTTTGAGGCAGCTTGGAGCTATACTTAAAGAGGGGAAAAAAGTGCTGGGCTATGGAGAGGGCAGGAAAATAGCAACAAGCTACACAAGAATGACACAAGAATAATCATTAAAGAGGTGAGGATAAAATTGGCTCCAAAGAAAATGCGGCATGCAAAGTACATAAACAATAAGTTCTTCAGAACACTACCTGAAAGCACGTTCAGCCCACAACAGTGCAATCTCTACCATGGTTAGGGCAAGAAGGCAGGTCCCAAGTCTATCCAGGCTGGAATGGGAATCAAACCCCATACTCTTAGTACCAGATAAACCCACAGAAGCCGTCCAGTCAAATGCCTCCTCCATGAACATAGAACATGGAACATAGAACAGTACAGCACAGTACAGGCCCTTCAGCCCATGATGTTGTGCCAATCTATTATCCTACTCTAAGATCAAACTACCCTGCATACCCTACATTTTACGATCATCCATGTGCCTATCCAAGAGTCACTTAAATGTCCCTAATGTAACTGACCAATGTATGAGTCCAAGGTCCTGTGGCAATATGCACTTTTGCATACTTGTTGCAATCTGGAGCTATGGAATCTGATAACTAATGCTCCAATTTTATTTCTATCGCATTGCTGACAAGAAATTTTCCCAGCTCTGCAACTAGTCCCTGCAACTATGTATGTTGGAAGGATTTGCAGATTGATCCTCAACCTGTTTGGCTGCATTATGAATACACCTTCCTTATCCAACAGGTCATGAAGTGGGACTTTAGAATTTAGAAGAATGAGAGACAACCTTATCGAAACATCAAGATTCTTTGGGAATTAGTCAGGGTAGATGCAAAAAGCTGTTTCCTCTTCTGCAAGACTCTAGGACCACAGGACATAACATCAGAACAATGGGTTGCACATTTAAGACAAAGATGAGGAGGAATTTCTTCTCTCAGAGGGCAGTGAATCTATGGAATTGTTTATTCCAGAGAGCTGTTGAGGCTGGTTCATTAAACCTACTCAAGGCTGAGATAGGCAGCTTTTTAATCAGTAAGGCAATCGAGGGTTTCAGGAACAAACCAGGGAAGTGGATTTGAGGATTAGCAGATCAGCCACGATCTCATTGAATGGTGGAGCAGTCTTGATGGGCTGAATGGCCTTCTCTTGCTCCTTTGTCTTACGGATTTTACGATTGTATCATTATTAAAATAAAACTAAGAACTGCAGATGCTGGAGATCTGAAACAAAACAAATCATTTTGGGTCCAATAACACCTCTTCTCCACAGCTGCAGCCAGACCTGTGGAGTTTCTCCATCAATTTCTGTTTTTGCAACTTATGGTAACCCTTTCAGATGGACAGCATATCACAATAGGCTGAATGGCTTCCTTCTCTGGTGGATGTTTCTATATTCTGATATAAAAAAATTGTAAGTTACTGTGACGATAGCAAAAATGTCTCAACCTGCAGCTTACTCTAAAATGAGTTATTATTATGACCACATATATGTACTTTGGCCCATGCTTTATTGATGGATTATATTTGCAGAAATTTAAGGAAAGATGGAATATGGAAAAAAAAACGTTTCTAACCGTTCCAGGATTTCGGATTTTATGACTTTTTCTATCCAATTCATATCATCAGTAAATGTGGCTGTTAACTTCTTAATATTGTCATCCAGCTTCATGTAGAGTTCTGGCAGTCTGAATCTCGACTGCAAAATAAAGTTTTTAAACTTCATAGTTAGATTTTTATATATACAAATAAATCTAATGTAAAAACCATGAGTTTTAGAATTAAAAAACATAATTAAAGTACTAGAGAGCTAAGAAACTACATTCACATTGCACCTTTTTGTAGAAAAATCTCAGAACAAGTTTCAACAGTGGAATGCATAGCAAAAAGCAAGATATTAAGAGCAGTCAGCCATGGCTTCAAAGAGTTTGGTTATAAGGAGGAACTGGCAGGATTAAAGGAAGGTGGAAGGATTTAGGGAATTCCAGGACTTCCAGGGAGGTGAAAGCACTGCTACTAATTGTGAAGTAAAAGAAGATTTCACAAAAACTGCATGCAAGTTCAACCATATTGTGGCCATTGCTACCCAGGAGTGTCTTTACTCTGAGGTGGTTAATTAATCCTGTCACACTGCACAATACCAAGTTTAATATAACCTGTCTTAATGACAGCTTTGAACCTACAACCTTGAGGTGACAAGGAATCATCAAAAGCACTTTTCCAATTCCATTTCTTCATGCCAAGCTGCAAGGGTGGCCCATCTTATCCTGCTTTCTCCAGGCGGTTAGGCAAGGAAATGATAAATGGAGATAAAATGATCCAAAACCAAAATAAGCTACTACTTCTTGAAGACTGAATCTTGTAACATTTTGATTTGTTCATCATTCAGTCCAGGTTAACAGTAATATATGTCCCCTGTTTGTGTAAATCCACCAAAAAAATAAGCAAAATGATAGTGAATGACAATATAATGTCTACCTGCTTGTCCTCAAGTGCTTTTATTTCTTCCATATGCACTTTTTGAAGAGAAGACCAATAGTTCTCATTTTCTGCCCTGAGGATCTTCTCACTGTCATTTCTTACAGTCTCAAATTTACAAAGATTCTTCAGAAATAAAAAAAAGCACCCTTTCCTTTAAGAACAAACATACTGAATAAACAAAGAAATGTTACAAATTTAAATATTGAGTTATTAACACATATGGAAAATTATACTACTGCATGCAACACAATGCATTTTTGAAGTACAGTATTCTCCTAGGTTTTTTTTTACTAGAGCTGGCAAACACTTGCATCAAAATCTTAACTACAATATTTATTGCTTGCTTATCCTTACGTTAGGTGCAAATAAACTACAGACTCTTTCAGGAAACCATAATTTATCACCGTGTAAATTTGTGGTGATTTGTCAGTATAACAAATAAACACCCACAGATACATTTTGACTGTTCTAAATTATTCTGTGACGATTGGTCAGTCTACAAGTGCAGAATTCAATCATATTGTTTTGTGACTTGGTATTGGCTTGCACTTGCTTTAATTGCTCCTGACAGTAATGAAAATATTTGTTTTATTCAATTTTGGAGGAAAAAGCCAGTATTTCGTGCCCATGGATAGCTACATTGAAAAGACAATGGTGAGCCTTCTTCACAAACAGCATGGAAATGATGGTCTGTGTCCCATTCTCTGTTGTAAATGTTTCTGTGTTACATCTTTAGCCCATAACATTCAGCTATGGTTTGACATGACTTGCTAGGTCGCATCAGAAGGTAAATTAGAAATGACCATACTGATGTGGGATTAGAGTGGCAGATGAGATTGGATGGAAAAAGTAGGTTTCCTTCCCCAAAAAGGCATTAGACTTGCATAGAAAAACACAAGTGGTTCACTAAGATAGTAGGAACTGCTGATGCTGGAGAATCTGAGATAACAAGGTGTAGAGCTGGATGAATACAGCAGGCCAAGCAGCATCAGAGGAGCAGGAAGGCTGACGTTTCGGGCCTAGACCCTTCTTCAGGAATGGGGGAGGGGAAGGGGATTCTGAAATATATAGGGAGAAAGGGGGAGGCGGATAGAAGATGGATAAAGGAGAAGATAGGTGGAGAGGAGACAGACAGGTCAAAGAAGCAGGGATGGAGCAACTAAAGGGGAGTGCAGGTGGGGAGTTAGGGAGGGGATAGGTCAGTCCAGGGAGGACAGACAGGTCAAGGGGGTGGGATGAGGTTAGTAGGTAGGAGATAGGGGGTGCGGCTTGAGGTGGGAGGAGAGGATAGGTGAGAGGACAGGTTAGGGAGGCGGGTATGAGCTGGGCTGGTTTTGGGATGCGGTCAGGGGAGGGGAGATTTTGAAGCTTGTGAAGTCCGCATTGATACAATTGGCCTGCAGTGTTCTCAAGCAAAATATGAGGTGCTGTTCCTGCAACCTTCGGGTGGCATCGTTGTGGCACTCCAGGAGGCCCAGGATGGACATGTTCAAGGAGTGGGAGGGGGAGTTGAAATGATTCGTGATTGGGAGGTGCAATTGTTTGTTGCGAACCGATCATAGGTGTTCTACAAAGCGGTCTCCAAGCCTCCGTTCGGTTTCCCCGATGTAGAGGAGGCCACATCGGGGACAGCAGATACAATATACCACATTAGTAGATGTGCAGGCGAACATCTGCTTGATGTGGAAGGTCTTCTTAGGACCTGGGATGGGGGTGAGGGGGGAGGTGTAGGGGCAAGTGTAGCACTTCCTGCAGTTGCAGGGAAAAGTGCCAGGGGGTGGTGTGGAGCGGACAAGGGAGTCACGGAGAGAGTGGTCCCTCCGGAAAGCAGATGAGGGTGGTGAGGGAAAAATGTCTTTGGTGGTGGGGTCGGATTGCAGATGGCGGAAGTGTCAGAGGATGATGTGTTGGATCCGGAGGTTAGAGGGGTGGTACGCGAGGACAAGGGGGATTCTGTTTTGGTTGTTATTGTGGGGAGGGGGTGTGAGGGATGAGTTGCGGGAAATGCGAGAGACATGGTCGAGGGCGTTTTCGACCACTGTGGAGGGAAAGTTGCGGTCCTTGAAAAACAAGGACATCTGGGATGTCCGGGAGTGGAATGCCTCATCTCAGGAGCAGATGCGGCGGAGGTGAAGGAATTGGAAATAGGGGATGGCCTTTTTGCAGGAAGGTGGGTGAGAGGAGGTGTACTCTAGGTAGCTGTGGGAGTCGGTAGGCTTGAAATGGATATCGGTTTCCAGGTGGAGCTTGAAATGGATATCGGTTTCCAGGTGGGAGTTCACTAAGAGCTTTGTAACCTTTATCTTATTTTCATTTCTAGAATTCAATTCTCAAACTGACATTCAAGTTCTCTGGATTATTAGTTCAGGCCTCTGAACCATCAATCCAGCCATACAACTAGTACATACACATCCATAGGTTAGGCTCATCATATGCCAATTAATTTGACACCAATACTAATGCACACAGAGGCCAGAGAAAGAACAAGGATGCTTGACCAAAAGGAGTAATGGTTCCAGTAAAAATCATTTCATTATATACCCCTTATTCATCTTGCTTCCACATACTGCAGCAGGCTGTCAACTCGTCATCAAAGGTTCATCCTCTATTGACATGATATCAGGCAACATGGAGGCACAGTTACATTCAGGGCTAGACAGGGACTCAAAACAGTTGTATTCCAAAACCATTAACACTTATAGAAATGTATGCATCAATATAAAGTGCAATGTAACCTATGCCAACAATGTGTAAACAAAAGGTTATCTTTTTATTCACCCCTACCAACTCTCAGTAGTCCCAGATTCCACAGGTGGGGTGAAGGAAGCCTGCTCAGCATTGGAACCTCTTGGCCTGGAGATTTGGTCAAATGATCCCAGGAGCATGCTTGTCTGGACAGCTCCAGTGTGCTGAGGCAATACAAGGCAGTGTGAGGGGTCTGATTGGTTTCAGGAGCAAAGTGTCCAGGACACATACCCCCTTCCTGATGTGGCACAATATCTACAACTCAGACTCCAATACTTCAACACAAGTTTGAAATTCCTCAAGCTGCAAACACTTACTACTCCACAGCTCCCTATCACCCATCCAGCTATCACAATCATGTTTATTTGATTTATTAATCAATTATTCCTGTATCAGAGTAAGGAAACCAATCAGACCCCTCACACTGCCTTGTATTGCCTCAGCACACTGGAGCTGTCCAGACAAGCATGCTCCTGGGATCATTTGACCAAATCTCCAGGCCAAGAGGTTCCAATGCTGAGCAGGCTTCCTTCACCCCACCTGTGGAATCTGGGACTACTGAGAGTTGGTAGGGGTGAATAAAAAGATAACCTTTTGTTTACACATTGTTGGCATAGGTTACATTGCACTTTATATTGATGCATACATTTCTATAAGTGTTAATGGTTTTGGAATACAACTGTTTTGAGTCCCTGTCTAGCCCTGAATGTAACTGTGCCTCCATGTTGCCTGATATCATGTCAATAGAGGATGAACCTTTGATGACGAGTTGACAGCCTGCTGCAGTATGTGGAAGCAAGATGAATAAGGGGTATATAATGAAATGATTTTTACTGGAACCATTACTCCTTTTGGTCAAGCATCCTTGTTCTTTCTCTGGCCTCTGTGTGCATTAGTATTGGTGTCAAATTAAGAAAGTGACAGCTATTTCTTCTTTCAGAGGTTAGTAAATCTGTGGAATTCTTTAACACTGTGAGCTATTGAGGCTGGGTCATTAAGTATATTCAAATCTGAAATGGATAAACTTTTAATCAGAAAGGGAATCAAGGAAAGTGGAGTTGAGAATGATTAAATCAGCCATGATTTCACTGAATGGCAGGGCTGAATGACCCACTTCTGCTCCTATATCTTATGGTGTTAAACATACATGGGCACACTCACTACCTGCAAGTTCTCTTGTTAGACACACTAACTTGGAAATGTTACACTTTTCCTTCAGTGACATTAGTTCAAAAGACTAACACTTTGTTCCAACCAACACTGTGGCTGTCAGTATACCCCAAGGACTGCATAAAATGGCAGCTCACTACAGTCTTCTCTAGAGCAATTGGGAGTGGATAATAAATACTGGCCTAGCCAGTGGACCCAGCATCCCTTGAACAAGTTTTTAAAAATGGATTTTGAACCATCTGAGATCTTCTCATGTGGCCTGTATCTGTTCCATGAGCTCTTCAAGTTCCTTGTTCTGCACCTCTGTTTGTTTTAAGTCTGATCTGCTTTTCTTTTTCATTCAACTGTGACTTTATTTTCTCAAGTTCAATTTTCACCACAGTTTTGATGCAATAGAAGACCCACTGCTATCATATCCATGTTGCCATATGTTGTAACAACTATTGCCAGCATATTGTGGTTTGTTGTGAATGATTGAATGCATCTCTTTGATCTAACTATCAGAGATCTTCAGAATCAGGTAAAAAGTAAGCTGTCTATTCCATTGCTGTGTACAGATTTCTTGAATGCTTCTACATTTCTCCACTAACAATCTCAGACTGACTCTGGAGGCCAATGTGACATCAAGGTGCATGGTGTGAATAACTATCTTCCAGATGTTAACTCTTTCAGACCAATTTACAACAATCTCCACTCTCATTTCACCTCCTTTCCTTTGCATCTTTATTCTCATTTTTCTCCTGTTTGCCTTGGAGTGGCAGTTGTTTTTCTTCTGCCACCCAAACGTCCTGTACACATTTCCTTTCCCTTTACTCATCCCATCACCATTCCCTTTGGCCTTGTACTTGTTTATAGAATCACTACAGTGTAGAAATAGGCCATTCAATCCATAGAGTCTGTGCCAAACCTCTGAAGAGCACTCCATCCCAACCCTATAACATTGTATTTCCCATGGCTAACCCACCCAACTTGCACATCTCTGGCCTGACAGGGAAAACCAGAGTACCTGGTGGAAATCCACAAAGACATCGAAAGAACATGCAAACTCCACACGGTCACCAAGACTGGAACCAAACCGGGTCCCTGGTCCTGTGAGGCAGCAGTGCTAACCACTGAGCCATCGTGTTTACCATTTAATCTTTTTGACCCCATCAAGACCTCTCTTTTTGATCCTTTCTTCACCGGTTCCCAATTCACTTGGTTTAAAACAATGATATAATAGATCATAGATCATAGAATCCCTACAGTGTGAAAACAGGCCCTTCAGCCCAACAAGTCCACACCGAACCTCAAAGCATCCCACCCAGACCCACCTAATCTACACATCTCTGAACACTATGGGCAATTTAGCATGGCCTATCCACCTACCCTACACACCTTTGTCTGTGGGAAGAAACTGGAGCACCCGGAGGAAACCCATGCAGACACGGGGAGAATGTGCAAACTCCACACAGACAGTCGCCCGAGTTTGGAATCGAACCCGATCCCTGGTGCTGTGAGGCAGCAGTGCTAACCACTGAGCCACCGTGTCGCCCAATCTCCAAGTTCTGATGAAATGTCATTGATCTAAAAAGGTTAAATCTGTTTCTCTTGCCATTGATACTGCCTGACCTGCTAAAGTATTTCCAGTAGTTTTAGTTCTTATTATAGCAAAATACTACTTTGAATGGACAGCAATTTTAATCAGTTATATGGTTTGTATGGGTTATAAAGTGAAATCTTGTGGTTCATAATTTCAAAATGAAACCAAGTGACTGCTACATTAGTGGCATCATGTGCAAACAGAGGAGTATACATTCCTAGTTGTCTGGATGTAAATTATTTTGTTCTTTAATTTCTCAGATGCAGCGTGTCATTCACAGATCAGGAACGGGCCATGTTTCATCTCTGCTATTTACTGAGCTAACTAGCCTTAAATAAGATGCAAGTATGCATTATACATAGCTGAGATCCTAGCTAGCTGTAATCAAAGAAAAAGCTTTAGCAGCACTCAGGCTTTAAGAATGTATTTGGACTCACTGTCACCTTGTGAGCAACTATAGGGGCGGACATTAAATGCAGCCTTGTTACCATCACCAACAGCTAAAAGACACATTTTTGAGAAACTCAAATAAAAAATAAAAATGTTTTAATAATGGAAATAGTTTTAATGTTCCACCATTTCTTCTTAAAGGCTCACCTTCTCAAGATCAAAAAATCTCTTTTGTATTTCTTCCCGAAGTTGCATTTCCCTATGCAATAGTCTGGTGCTGAGCTCCTCCACAACTTGATGTATTTTTCCCTGCAATAAAGTTCTAAATCCTTAATGAAACAATAACAAAGTAAGCACTTGCATTATTTCATGCTTTAAACCAATACTGCTACCTAAATATCAAGATACTGATGTCGAGTATACCTGGATTGTGGATGTCTAGACAAGGACTATCCCTGATCCTTAAGTAAGGCATTTCAACTCCTATAAATTACAATACTTCTTTGTTCACATCCAAACAGTACATTCTCAAATACAGCTCTCTTCACATGCTAATTCTACACCAATCTTTCCTCTCTTACTGATGTCAGACTCGTATGTTCTGTTATATCATGATTTACATGAATCTCATTATACCACATCAATTTCTAAGTTTCTCCCTACTTGATCTACTTCTCTCTAGTAGTTTAAACTTTACTTATTCACATAGTCTTTATAATCATTAATGACACTGATAGCAGAATTATTAATATTATCACCGCATACCCTCTCAAAAGTCCAAATCTCAAATTGAAACAATTTGAAACTAAGTAAATGGCCCAATCTTGTTTGCTTAAGTTCAACACTTGAATGACGGTGCTGTAATGTATCTGGAATAGTTCTACCACACTGTACACTCTCTGACATAATATAACAATAGATGTCTGTTACGATTCCAACTGATATTATTCCTGAACAAGTCAGATCCAAGACTGAAATCTGCTTTGATGGATCTTATTTTGTTCTTTTTGTAAAATGGTTTTCAGGTGGTTTCTTACACAGAAACACAAGTATAAACTATTGCAGTTTTGGTTTTAAAAACAAAAGAAAAAGTTCATTAAACAAAACAAAGCATCAATAAAAATGAACCAAGTTATTTACAAAATTTAAAGATTTTGAAACACACAATAAAATACAAACTAGTTATCCCAGCATCAACATGTTAGAATAGCCATGTACCCGAAATTATTTCTTTTTCTATTACTTTTTTAGATTTGTTTGACTATTGCTTTCAATTCCCAGTCTTGAGAGACTGATAGTCTCTTCTTTGGGTATGAACACAAATGACTTTAGACTTTCTCAGCTTCAAAAACACTTTAATCTGGAACCTTCAAACTCAAGAAGCACTTAGACTGTGATAGCTCATTCCCTAACTTTTCTACCTGGCTCCTTTCAGCTCAGTTGGGGCTGGCCAACTGATTTGCAATACAGAGTGATGCCAGCAGCACCGGTTCAATGGCTGAGGTCATCATGAAGATCCCACCTTCACCCAAGATGTTATGACCTTCAGCTTAATCACCACCAGGCACTTCTCTCTAATGAGACTCCAATCCTATGGTCCTCTGCAAAGATGGTGACTTTACCTTGACTGTCTTAAACAAATTTCAACCTCTACTTTCTAAAAAAAATAAACTGCACACATACACTTTAAAAGTCTAACATTCAATTCTAACTCTTTTGTGAATCCACACACTGGAAAATTAGTCAAAAAATCCCAAAGTAAGGCAAACTGTGTACCAATTGATGGTTTCAACTATTCCACCACAGCAATAGCCAGCAACATAAGGAATACAGAAAATTTTCCACAACTCTCATAAAATGACATTTTCCATTAATAATAAACTGTCATGTAACAGACAAGACTAAGTGGGTACTTCATACTTACATTTGAAAGCTTAAAGTATATACCTAGGCAGTTATTACTAATGCACCTACAGAAATATGATTGCATTTCACCTTCTAGCAATCATTAATTATCAAGTTTATTCCAAAGGTGCAACTAATGACACAAAAACACCATTGATACTTAGTAGCTGAGTCATCCTAACAAGTAATAACCTGAACTTTGACATTATTCTTTGCTTTTTGTTAAAAAGTGAATATTGCCAATCTTTTCTTCTGTAGACTCTGAGTCACACACCTGACATATTAGAGAGGAAAAGGAGACAGTTTTCTATCTATAGCTCCTTCAACATTACACAGAAACAACACTTTATGGACGTGTGTGCTTAATAGTAGTTAATGGATAATTTCCTTCCTTATGAAGAATCATTTTCCATTCAGCAAGACTTAACAGAATCATTGTTGCAGTCAAGTACAGAGTCAGGGATAAGACTTGAATCCTAACATTCTTTGATAAAAACCAGTTTTTCAACAAACTGCACTACCCCATGATATGAAGTGTATTGCATGAACACAGAAAATCGATTAAAATTTCAGCAATGATATTGTGACATTGCTTTAAATAGTTTGAAAGGCCACTCATTTCACTTCATTAACTGTTTAAAAAAAAGCAAAAACATTTAAAGGAAACCAACCTAAAGAAACAACTGTAAATAATCATGAAAATAACTTTCAACATAAATCAAATTACCAGGGGGTAAAGATTTTCTGGGGAATGGTTTCTGTCTATTTCTTTTTGCAGATTATCTTCCATCTTGTGGTCTTGCTGTGCTATTACAGCCATCAATTCACGCAGCCTTTAACAATAAAAAAGAGTTTCCCTTCAAGTAAAATTGCCTATCATTTTCCAAATATGGCCTCAATAATATGCATCAAATTGCAATAATCTCTTAACTTATGGTGAAAGGATCTTAAAAATAAGCACTCTGAAATTTGGGGAGAAATGACAAATTGGCAAATTACATTTTACTGGATAACTTCAGCCTAAAATATTTGTTCATTACAAATATCAACCAATCCCCTTTCTCCTTAACTATATTCAATTATCAAATATCGTTGTTTTTTCTTATTCGCTCATGGGATCTGGACATCGCTGGCTGCGCTGACATTTATTGCCCATTCCTAGTTGCCCTTGAGAAGGTGGTGGTGAGCTGCTGCCTTGAACCACTGCAGCCCACACGCTATAGGTGGGTCCACAATGACTGTAAATTATGCCCACAATACATGTGCCACTGTGCATGTCTAGCCAAGATGAAATGGTGTCAAGTTTTCATGCAAACTAATTAATGTGAGTTCAAGTGTAAAATCACCCGATACAGCACAATCAACCAGCATTTTTAAGTATATTCAATTTGTAACAAGAAGTATCAATTAATTAACAAGAACCAAAGGTACCGAAATGCTTTAGTAGAATAATAAAAACCCCTTCAGATCGAGGATGAAAATTTTGACATGTGCAACATTTAGCTCTATCCTGCAAACTTTTAAGATAACATATTAATTGTTCTGCACTATCTGAAGCAGTACAAATATTGTCCTCTCAGTCTTGTTGGGGAAATAAAGACACATTTGTCAAAGCCCTTACTTTGTACACTTCAGGACATTTTGCAAGAATACAAATTCAAAGGGAAAACTAATATTTGTTCTGTAGGAGAGGAGAGTGCTGATTGATTGGCAAATGGACTCTTATAGGCATTGCTATGGAGTTTGCAACTATTAATGCTGATTGACAGCTAATCGCCAGTTTTGTTTAAATTTTAAACCAAACAGGTTAACTCTGATTTGTCAGGGCCATTGCCCTGAGAAATGAACCAGTAAATGGCTGCCACAAGTTCTGTTTAGTTGTTACAGTGACAGTGAATACAGATGTTCTTTCTATCTGCAAAGAACAGGGACCTGTATCTTAATATATGTAGCTTGCAGTACATGCAAATATGCTACACTCTAAGCTCAACTGACAATTCTCAATTGGTTATCTGTGTAACTCAGCACACAATGAGGATGTTTTCTCATGATGGGAAAACCAGAAAATTAGTTAACCTTCGAGTTTTTCTTTTCCCCAAACAGCCAGCCAAGGTCAAGGCACAATGCAAAGAATCCCATTTGAACAAACATTTTAGGTAGAAATTCATTTTGATCTCAAATGGGGTCAAATTTTATTGGTAAGGGTTAGTTCAGTTAGGGGGTCAAACTTACAAGATTGTGGATTCTTTGGTATAAATCATTTACTCCCTACACTATTTGACTTGAGATGGTATCCAAGTGACATCCAGGTGGGTACTCAGGGCCAGTTTTTTTTAATATTGTCTCTTATTCTTTAAGTTTCTCAGCAACTTGCCAAGACTAGCTGGGCAGTTGACCTGGGACCAGCTTTCAGACGAGGTACCTTGTTGGAAAGTAGCACAGAGATTTGGATATGATTGCCTTCCACATATTCTTTTTCTTCCTGTGAGAGAATGCCGAAATCTAAATATCACCAGTAGATTTAAGATTAAGTCCATACATTCACCAACTTCTGTCATGTTGTGCCTTTGTTGCCCAAAGGCACATAGCACCCTTTCAAAGTTAAGTAAAAGTGTGAACTCCTATATTTACTATTTTATTATGTTACCCATTTCTGATTAGGTATGGAAAATATCTTATGAAATATCTATATCAAATCTGATCAATCATTACCTTGACTTCAATTTGTGTCAAACCACAATTAAATTGATTTTGAATTTATCTGTGCACTTACATCCAATGATAAAATAGGATATTGATGCATATAACATTTATTTTCGTTAACTGCCCTACAAAGAACTTTGTGTACAACAGTTGATAAAACGGCAAGCAGCAAGGTGTAATCTTTCTCTAATTTGAAAAGCACTTTGACAAGTCGTGACCTGACAACATTAAACATTGACACTTATTTCAACAGGGGCTTTGGGAGTGACCTGCAGTGTGAAACCCAGGAGCAAAGTCAGCACATTGGATTCCCAGATTTCAACTTCATGGACTAAAGCATACTTCTCCTTCTAGGTCTCATATTTTTACTTTTCACATTGCATGGTGTAATCTGAAGTCCGCAATTTAAGAGCATAAGAAATAGGAGCAGGCTTATGTCAGATAGCTTTTTGAGCCTTGTCTGTGCTTAATGTTTTGGTGGGGGGGTCCAGGGGTTTGGGTTATGATGTTACATGGAAGGATGATTACCTTCTGAGTGTTAACCCAAGAGTAGGGATAATCAGGCCATTTTCAAGTTGGCAGACTGATTTTAACAAGCAACAGTTCTGGGCCTCAGCTATTTACAACCCATATAAATAACTTAGATGAAGAGATTGAGGGTCTTTGTTTGCTATCAGTTTAAAGTTAGATGGGAATGCAACCTGCAAGGAGGATACTGCCAAGAGATGTAAACAGATCAAGTGAGTAGGCAACAAAACAGCAGTTAGAGTTTAAATGTGTGGAGGTATAAGGTTCTTCACATTTGTATAAGATTATAAAAACAGACCTTTATTTTGTATATATGAAAATCAAAATGTTCACAGACTTTTGGCTGTATTCGTACAAGGAAGATAAAAGATAACACGCAATTAGGATGGCAAATGGCATGTCAGCCTTTATGGATGGTGATCAGAGAACAAAAATAAGAAATCCCTGCTACAGTTGCACTGTACTTTGGTGAGACAATTCCAGTGCACAGTTTGATCTTTGTAATTAAGAAAAGATATACTTCAAGATGATACATTGAATATTGACTAAATTGTTTCCTGGGATGAGGGGGTTGAGTTATGATGAGGGCCTAAGTTATTTTTTGTATTCATGGAATGTGGGCATTGCTAGCTAGCTTAACATTTGTCTGTCCCTAATTGCCCTCAAGAAAGTAGTGGTAAGCTGCTTTCTTACACCACTGCAATTGCCAGAGTGCACCCACAGTTCTCTTAGGAAGAATGTTCCAGGATTTTGACCCAGCCACAACGAACTGAGTACAGTTCCAAATCAGGATGCCTATGCATGCGCAGCCCTTGCCTTTCTATCTTGTTGCAGTTATAGAGTTGAAAGGTGCTGTCAAAAAAGCCTTGGTGATTTATATCTCATAGATAATACATAGTGCGCTTTTGCAATGAAGGGAATGAATGTTGAAGGTGGTGAATGGGGTGACAATTAAGCGGGTTTGCTTTGTTCAAGGTGGCATTAAGCATTTCAAATGTTGTTGAAACTCATCATCCAGGTAGGTGAACAATATTCCATTACATTCCTGACTTGTGCCTTTTAGGTGATGGTCAGGCATTTGGGACACAGATTGGGAGTTATGTGATGCAGATTACAGAAGCCCAGACCTGCTCTTAAAGCCACAGGATTTATATGGCCAATCGAGTCCAGTTCAGTTTCTGGTCAATGGTAAACCCCCAGGCTTTTGATAGTGGGGATTTAATAACCCATGACCATAATCAACCAGTGGACTTTTCTCCTTTATTCTAAATGACTCTAGTTTTGCTGGGACTACTTGGTACCCTACATGGTCAAATGCAGCCTTGATGTCAAAAGCAGACGGTCACACCGGAGACAACAAGGTGCAGGGCTGGATGAACACAGCAGGCCAAGCAGCATCATAGGAGCAGAAAGGCTGACGTTTCGGGCCTAGCACACCGGAGTTCAGTTCTTGTGTTGATATTTGGACAAAGGATGTAATAAGGTCAGATGTTGAATGACCTTGGCAGAACTCAAACTAAGCATCCAGTCAGCAGGTTATTGCTGAGCAAATGCTGTTTGATGTCATTGATAGAGTTTGATCTCTCAAGGAACCAAGAATAAATTGAGAATGGGCAAAAATTGTGTGTGCTTGTGTCTGTATGTTCCAAAGTGGTCTCAGGTGGCTAGGAATAGGCATCCTTCCAGCTAAACGAGAGAAGGCTTATTTAAAAAACAATTTGAAGTTTATTGCAGTACTGCAACTATTTTCAAATTACATGAATATGATTGACATGACTACAGAGACTGTTCTGAACTCATCAGTCTTGAGACTATTTTCTACCAGCTTCTTCTGTACTGTCTTCCCATTCCCTGGAACATAATCACAGTGGACAGTGCTTGCAGTACTAGATCTTGTCTAAGCTTTTCAGAGCCATATACAACACCACTAAGAACAAGGATCCATAATGGTGGTATTGGATAGTAAAGTAGGCTTGAAGGTGCAAATGATATACTCCAGCTCCTGTTCCTTGTAATGTTAAAACTTCTAGCTCAACTGTTGTGTTTTAAATAGGGAGGGGACAACAGGGCCTCCCAAAACGGAGAGTTGTGGGGGGGGTGTGGGGGGTGGTGGCAAGTTGATTGTGGGAAACAGGTCAAGCTGGTGGCAGAAGGTGCCAGGTCCAGGGATGGTGGGGGATGGGATGGGGGTAGATGGGTTTCCACATTGGCAGGTCTGCTGTAGGACTGCACTGAGAGATCCTAGGATGGGTGGCAGTGTAGCGTTGTATCAGGGGTTTGTGTGATTTTTGGGGGGAGGGCCGAGGAGCGGTGACAGCATTTAGGCTGGTGGCTGGGACTATAAGTTCCAAGGGAATGAACATGAGCGTGTGGGGAGAGGGGCAGTCAGTGGTGTCACATATGGGATCAAGATGGAGGCCAAGGAGGGGGAAGCTTTGGGTGATGGTTTCTGCTCAGGAATGGCAAGGTTAGGACCATGAAGGAGTTGGGGGAGATATGCAAATCATGTTGGGATGGATCTGGTTAGAGGAATGGGTGGGTACCAGGGCTGCAAAGGTACAAAAGGTTCACGGAAGCATATGTGTGAGGAACAGGTAGGGTATGCAGGGTAAGGTGGTCAGTACTGAGTCTGTGGAGAGCGGGAATATAGAGGTTAGTTTTACACCAACCCAGAAGTTATTAGTTTTTTTAAAAACATCTAACCTTTCCTGGGTAATTATTAACTTGAGGGAAGTCAAACCCACTAAGGCCTCCAACTTTAATGAACTCTTTTGGAAGATGCCTGACACAGAGGAATTGCCCTTTGGAAAATTCCCATGGAGTTGCTGTACTGGGGATTCTGCATGGTCATAACATGCAATTGCTGCCTGCTCTAAAGACTCTTTGGCCATTGTTTCAATAGGTCAATCATGTCTAAGTAGTAAAATGTTTACCTCGCATTAATCTTCCGATCAAGAATTTTTCCTTCTGATTCAAGATCAGTTTGCTTATTCCTGATATCAGAAAATTCATCTTCAATTTGCAACAGTCTACAATTTTAAATAGAAATGAGTATTAACTTCAGTTACATGAAGTATCTAAGTCAGTTATTAAAATAGTAAAGCTATGGTACACCAAAGAAAAGACAGATTCTGATCAATTATTCAACCAAACACTGTATATTGTGATTTGACGCTGTTTTATGAATTTATAACAAGAACGACAAAAATTATGATGAGGATTCATTATACATTACAAGTAATTAGAAACATGGATTCTAAAGTTCAAGAACAATGTACAGTTTTAAACATGATTTGTATTCTACCCTGTGCATGGATTTGTTCTGGGAATGGCACCAGGTTTTATTTATATGCATTTTAATAAGGTGGCTAAACCCTTGAGGTGAACAGTTTATAGTGTATTAGGAAAAAGGGGAGAAGAAAAAAAACAAACTTGTTGCTAAGGGTCAAGAGTAGAGTATTATAGAAAGATAGAAATATCTAGAAGCAATCAGCAATGTGAAGGTTTCAGTCAGAGACAAAAGGTCTGTAGTAGAAATACTAATAATTTAGTAGTCTCCAAAACAGCCTGGGCTGAAAAAGGCATCCTGAGGAGCTGAATAAGTCAGGAGAACTCCAGAAATAGAAGTCTGTTGAAGAGATGAGTTTAAGGAACATGTTAAAAAATGAATGAAGGCAAAACATAGTTAATGTATCCTCCTGAGACCCTTAAACAAAAAGAAAATAGTATTGGGTGAATGGAGAACTTTGCCAGAAAGAAACCGATTAAAGCTCCTTGTTCAGTTGGCATGACTGTAAAGTGGAGATGGGGTTAAGCCTTCACTGATATTCAGGTGTTTGTAAGGTTGCTAATGAGGGTAAATATTTCTGATATTTGTAGTAAAAACCGTTTCAAATAGCTCTTCTACAGTGTAACACGGTTTGTGTTGTGTTTTTTTCTTTGTGTAATAACGTTTTTTTGTTGAAGATACATTGACTGCTTCTTCTGAATATATTCAGTGACTGCCCACCATGGTAAGCAAACATAAAACTTATTGTCTAATCAAGCCAGGTCTCACTCTGGGATCTGACTTGTCCAGTATTACCATCAGCTGGGATCATAATATTGTTTAGATAAATTCATAACTAAAACAAAATCATTTGTGTTTCTATCAGGCAACCAAGTTGAGTTTCGAGGAAAATGGATGTCCCAAGTTAAAAAAAGTTAGATGGCAATTATAACAAGTGGCCATTTTATTGCTACAAAAATTAACAATGCATTTTTAACATTATGCAAAAAAAATTTTCAACTTTTTTGACCTTGTACACACCTACAATATGACTACACCATAAAAAGTCCTGCACTTTACAAATGTGAAATTACAGTAATCAAACAGCTCATCCTAGGCTGTCCATGCTAGACTGTAACTTGTTTGCAAAAGCAAAGATCATTCACATTCAAATCAAAAATTTGTTAAAACCAGGTTGTAGGAGAACAATCATATATTTACCACATAAGAGAATTAGAGGGATTGGTGATATGTTCGCCAAAGCCAATAAGCATGTAGTGTGTCAAAGTTCTTGCATAAAACTCTCAGTCTCTACTATTTTTCTTTAGATTGAAAGGGAGTTATAATGGATAATTAAGTTTATTTCGCCTAAAGATCACCACAGACTAAATACACAAAGGAATTTTGATTGTTCATCAGACATAGGTATATGTTACTGAATCATTAAACTTCAATGTTTAAATTTAATGGAGACTTTTTTCTGTAAAAGTCAGCAAGCAAGGGGTGGCACAAGTGCATCAGAATTCCATTTCCTACAACTAATTTAATGTTTACTTCTATTAATTTGATTAAGTAACATTATTTAAGTTGAAGTAATCATTAACCTAATCATGACTGTGATTTAAAATAAGTTATTGAATAGTATCAGAGGGACTTTTTATTCATTCATGGGATGTGGGTGTTGCTGGCTAGACCGGTATTTATTGCCTATTCCTAGTTGCCTTTGAGAAGGTGGTGGTGAGCTGCTTTCTTGAACTGCTGCAGTACATTTGGTTCAGGTACACTGATATTGCCATTAGGGAGAGAGTTCCAGGATTTTTACCCAGCAACACCTAAGAAACTGTGATATATTTCCAATTCTGGATACCATGTGGCTTAGAGGGGAACTTACAGGTGGTGGTGTTCCCGCGTATCTGCTCTCCTTGTCCTGCTAGAAGGTAAAGGTTGTGGGTTTGGAAGATGCTGTCTGAGGAGCATTGGTGAATTTCTGCAGTGCATTGTGTAGCTAGTACACACTGCTGCTGCAGAGTTTTGGTGATGGAGGCAGTGAATGATTGTAGTCATGTTGCCAATCAAATGAGCTGCTTTCTTCTGGATGGTGTAAAACTTCAATTGTTTTTGGAGTTGCACTCATCCAAGCAAGTGGGAGTATTCTATCACACTTCCAACTTGTGCCTTGTTAAGGGTAGACAGGCTTTGAGGAGCCAGGTCAGTTACTTGCTGCGTTATTCCTAGCATCTGACTTGCTCTGGTAGCCACAACACTTATATAGCCAATAGAGTTCAGTTTCTGGTCAATGGTAGCCCCCACGATACCATCAGTAATGGTAATACCATTGAATGCCTAGGGTGATGGTTAGGTTCTCACTCGTGAACATTAGAGCATAAAAACTTATTAACTACAAAGGGTATCATGTGATAATAATGCATATACCTCCTTTCGAAAGTGGTCTGTATTTGCTTAACTGACCGTTCAGCTTGCCTTTGAATTTCATTTTGTTTCTGTATACCGGACAACTATAATATATGCAAACAAATTTTGTTAGTTTCTTCTCAGAGGAAGTCCGTTAGAAAATCAGAATTAATCTCTCTCTGGTATGGTTTACAATTTTGTGACAAATAAAACTTATGTAAAATGAATATTTAATTGGCAACAGAATTTCTTTCAAGTCTGCTGGGCATGTAAAAAGTTTCCAGTTACTTCAATATTAGGCATTAGCATGAATATAACATTAAGAAGCAAATTTATATATTTTTGGAAACAGAATAATTTACGAGGTTACAACAGAATGATCATGGTATCAATACTCCAATTAAAGGAGAACAAAAAGAACATCAGGAACAAGTGAATGTTGCCCAGCAGTCAGTAAACAATTCATGCCATGAAAGTGGTGTCCATGGATTTCAGCATTGACCTCACCCTCCTGGTCCTGCCATGAACAAAGAGGCCTACAGCACCAACAGTCAAAGCACAATAGCTATTGGCTATTCATTCTATCGGAGATGATTGGTGGGGCCAGATTTGAGATAAATGAAAATTAGCCTACAACTTTCAACAGAAGGAAAAGAAAAAGTGTGCTATTGTTGTCGAATATCTGTTACATATAACTGATATGCTAACTTAAATCTTAGACATATAATTAAAATTTACCATTAAGACTGGCAGCATGACAAAAAGAGCAACCTCACTTATATAGAACTAGCAACTCAGAAAAAAATACTTCAATGGGCTTTATGTTGTAAAAGGAATGATTCTGAATATTCAAAACATAATAAAAAGGTAGAGTAGGCCATTCAGCCCCTCAAACCTGTGCCATCATTCTAAAAGACCATAACAGATCTGCCTAAGAGCTCAAAGCCTCTTTGGAGCCAGCTCCTCTCAGCCCCCAACTACTCCAGATTTCAAAAATCTACCTACTCTGAATATTTTCAGTGATCTCGTCTCCACAACTCTGTGTGAAGTCCAAACATTCACCACCTTCTGGGAAAATAAATTCTTTTGAATTTCAGTTTTAAATGAGTGTCCCTTCATTCTACATCACCTATTCAAGAGCCCAACACATCAGCGCAAATTTTAAGGCTGAAGCATTTGTAACAATCTTCAGCCCAAAGTGACAAGTGAATTATCCATCTCGTCCTCGTCCAGTATTCCCCATCATCACAGATACCAGTCTTCAGCCAATTCAATTCACTCCACGTGACATGAAGAAACAGTTAGAGGCACTGACTGTAGCAAAGGCTAAGGGCCCTGACAACATTCCAGCAATAGTACTGAAGATTTGTGCTCCGAGCTTGCTGCTCCCATTGTCAAATTGTTCCAGCACAATTACAACACTGGCATCTACCCGACAATGTGGAAAATTGCCCAAATATGTACTGTACACAAAATGCAGGACAAATCCACTCAGCCAATGACAACACCAATCTACTCTCAATCATCAGTAAAGTGATGGAAGGTGTTAACAACTGCAATAACCCTACTCAGTGATGCCCAGTTTGAGTTCCACCAGGGTCACACAGACCATGACCTCGTTACAGCCTTGGTTCAAACATGGACAAAAGAACTGAATTCCAGAGGTTAGGCAAAAGTGACAACCCTTGACATCAAGGCTGCATTCAACAGAGTGTGGCATCAAGGAGCCTTAGCAAACTGGAATCAAATGGGTATCAGGCAACAAACTCTCCAGTGGTTGGAGTCATACCAGGCACATAGGAAAATGACTGCAATTGCAGTCATCTCTGTTCCAGGACATCTCTGCACAAGTTCCTCAGGGTAATTTCTTAGGCCTAACCATCTTCAGCACCTTCCCTCCATCAGAAGGTCAGAAGTGAGGATGTTCACTGATGATCACACAATACTCAGTGCTATTCGCAACTCCTGGGATATTGAAACAGTCATTATTCAAATGTAACAAGATCTGGACAATATCCAGGCTTGGGCTGGCAAGTAATATTCGGGTCACACAAATGCCAGGTAATGACTGTCTCTTATTGGAGATGATCTAATCATTTCCCCTTTACATTGAGCGGTGTTTCCATCATTGAATCCTCCATTATCAACATCCTTGAGGTTATCATTGATCAGAAACAACTGGACTTGCCACATAAACACAGTGGTTACAAGAGCAGGTCAGAGGCTAGGAATACTCTTGCAAGTATCTCACCTCCAGACTCCCCAAATTCTGTCGACCACCTATGAGGCAATGTCAGGAGTGTGATGGAATACTCCCCACTTGCCTCAATAGGTGCAGTTCTAACAACACTTAAGAAGCTGGACACCATCCAGGACAAAGCAGCCCACTTGATTGGCACCACATCTGCAAGCATCCACTCCCTCCACCACTGATGCTCAGTGGTAAAATCTTGTACGTACTATCTACAAGATGCACTGCAGAAATTCACCAAAGATCCTTAGACAGCACCTTCCAAACTCTCAAACACTTTCATCTAAAAGACCAAGGGCAGCAGAAGCACGAGAACTACACTGCCTGAAAGCTCTCCTCCAAGTCACTCACCATCCTGACTTGGAAATATATCTTTGCTCCTTCACTGTCACAGGGTCAAAATCCTGGAAGTCTCTCCCAAACAGCATCGTGGGTCATTGTACAGTATATGAACTGCAGCAGTTCAATAAAACAGCTCACCAACACCTTCCCAAGGGCAACTAAAGATGGGCAATAAATGCTGGCCACCAGCAATACCCACATCTCACAAGTTAGTTTAAAAATACCAGCATTTTCCCCAACTACAGATATTAGGGAAACTGGCCTTTGGTTTCATGTGTTCTGTCCCCCTCCCTTCTTGGAAAAACTTCCCAATTCTTTGGCTAGTCACTAGTTTGCATCATTTTCTATGCCTTTGTTTTTGATTGGATGTTCTCCTTGACCATTTTTGTTAACCACTGGTGGTTCATTCGTCTTATTGAGTTCTTATTTTTGACTGGAATAAAGTTTTGCTGAGCATTATAAAACATCTCCTTAAATATCTATCCCTGCTCACCTACTGACATTTCCCTTAGTCTTTTTGCCCAGTCTGCTTTACACAAATTTTTCTTCATACCTTTGCAATTGCCCGTATCTAAGGTCAATGCGCTGGCTTGAGACCCAAATTGCTCTCCTGAAAATTAAATTTGAAATTCTACCATTTAGTAATCACTAGCCCCTAGAGGATACTTAACTGTGAAATACCTTATTAATCCTATGTCACAGATTAAATCTAAAATAGCGTGTTCCCAGGTAGGTTACGCACCACACTGCTCTAAAAAAAATCCCTAATGCACTCCACAAACTTGTCTTTCATATCACTTTTGCCCATCTAATTTGTCTAGTCAACATGTAGTTTAAAAATCACCCATTACAAGTGCAGTGCCCTTCCTAAACACCTCCATTATTTTCTGACTTAAAATTTGTCACACATGTAGGTAACTTGTTATGGGCCTATAAACAACTCCCAACCATGAATTCTTCCCTTTGCTTTTCCTTATTTCTGAAATAATTCTACATCAACTATTAGGCCTATATCACTACTCACCGCTGCACTGATATCTTCCTTTATTTCCTTTTTGCCTATTTTGAATACCCTTGAATATGGAGTTCCCAGCCTTGGTCATCCTGCAATCATGTCTGTATGATAGCTATCAAGTCATAGAAACAAGTTAATACTTGCACTGTCAACTTGTCACTTGAATGTGAACAACATTTGTAAACAGCCTTTGATGTCTTACTGTCACTAATTATTCTGATTCTACATTCTGCTGCACTTTGATTGTCATTTGCCTTTTGACTGCCCGACACCTCCGCCATGTCATTCCTACTTCATTTTTTAAACATTCCTTCAAATGAACCCTCCGCTCCCACACCCCAATTAGCTTAAAGCCCCATCTACAACACGAGTTATACAATTCACTAGGATTCTGGTCCCAGCATGGTTCAAATGAAGCCCATCCCAACCGAACAGCTCTCTTTTTCCCCCCAGTACTGGTGTCAGCCCCACTCCAATCGCATTTACCTCTTTAATCTTATTTACCTTATGCTAATTTGCACACAATCTCAGAATTGCTACCTGAGCTATTACTTTTGTGATTCAGATTTTTTAATTTTGCCCTGTGCTGCTTGTAATCTCTCAGCAAAACCTCTTTTCTCATCCTGCTATATCATTGTTACTAATGCAGATGACAACAACAGATCCTTCCCATCCCAATCCAAGCCCCTCTCCAGCCCAGAAGAGATATCCTTAACTTTGGCACCAGGCAGGCAACACAGCCTCCAGGACACTGTCTTTGATGCAGAGAACCCTATCTATTCCCCCAACTATGGTGTGCCCTATTACTATTGTAGTTCTCTTTACTCCCCCTCAGGTTTTTCATCCTCTCTGCAAGAAATTTCTACCTATTGAATAAGGGTGCTGGCTGCGGTTCCTTCAAAATTAAATGCTGGATTCCAATATCTGAGTCACCTGCAGTCATACCCTCCTGTCCCTGACCATGCACCAAACTGATTTAATTAACATAAAAGTGAAGTGACTGTCTCCTGAAACAGCATTTAAGTAACTCTCCCTTTTCGATGTGTCACAGTAGCTGCATTTCTGACTGTAGCTCATCAACTTTGAGCCAAAATTCTTCAAGCAGCTAGCATTTGCTGCCAATGTGGCCACCACATATCGCACCAGGCTCTGACAGCATAAATGGATTTATAAACATGCATGGGAATGTACATTTTCCAGTTAGTTTAATTTTTGCATTGAAATAAAGAGAACTACTAGGTAGTGATAGAGTAAGCAAAGAGAGCACATAACTTTTGATGAATGAGATGCGCTGTGGCTATTGGCATCAGTCATTAATTGTTTCACATGAACAGCTTGTGCAAAATGGGACTGTGTACAGCCTTCTTTCATCTCCCTCTTCTTCCAATTTCCTCTTGCCACTTCTCCTCCAGTTCCTCACCTGATAATTGACAGCAAGGGCTATCAAGTTCATGCAGCACACTACAATAAATCTCATTACCCACTCAGCTAACAGC